TAAGCTGTTCAGCTTCAGAAATACTAGTTGAAATACGAGGTGAAAAGCAACTTTACATTAAAGCTGTCATATTAGTCAGCATGAAATTCATCAAAGTATGTCTAATGGACTCATGTTTGGGATTGCTTCATAGTCCCCATTGTGATTCTGAATAACAATTTTCCAATTTAGAGATACAAGCTAAATATAGCTTATTTAGCTGCTCTTTTAGCAGCTTTGTTCATTCTTAGCCCTTCTCTGTTAAATAGCAGTGGATTTTCTTATTTCAGTATCTTAAAGGCTGGTGTCTACAGCAGGCAAATATAAAATGGTTCTGGGGCATTCTGGAGCATGGTTCTGGGGACCAGAAAATGGTATTTTAATACAAGCCACAAAAACCGAGCTCATGCAAGCAGTAATGAGGTTGTGAATTGAGTCTTTTGTTATGTTAGAGATGGTGAACTATAGTGATACTGAGTTCTTCAAAAGGTAAGTGGAGTATTGCTGTGATAGGTCTCTTGTGGCTAGAGTTTTAATTTTTCTTTATTCAGATTTTGAAAAATATTCTTCTGAACTTATTAAACATTTTTTGGTTATTGCAATTACTTCTGGAATTTGTGCCAGTCAGATTTACATTGCCTATCAGAATGGAAGAGTGGATCAAGCACTGTCTTTGGGCTTTCTGCTGGGTTGGATAGCTGGAGATCTTACGAATTTCATAGGCTGCTACTTAACAAATCAACTGCCAATTCAGGTAATCTGTCAGTATTCGTACTTTTTGACTTATCCTTTTCAAACCGTCTCCTTAAACTCTGAGACAACTTAATCTTGCACAGTGAAGTAGATACCGGGAAAGAAAATAGTTCTGTATTCTGTTCACTGTGATTTGCAAAATAGGTCATAATTTTCTAAATATTTACATTGAAACTGTTATGTTTTATAGGAATCATTTCACATGTAATTAACGTTCAGAGAGACTTCCTGGGAGTTACTCAGTGCTGAATGAAGTGGGGAATTTTTGTTTGAGCTTCAGTGTCAAAATAAGATTGTAAAGTACCTAGGGCTGGAAGGGCCTGGAAGGCTGTTGTGTTGTTCAACTGGTTTGGGGCAGATACTCTTTACACTTCCTCTTGTATTTTTATTTATTTTAAGAAATCTGTTTATTAACAGGGAAATACTAGTTCAAAGCTGTTAATATCTGACTATTCTGAAAATACATTTTCTTCACTAAGAGGAGGGTTTCTCCGAAAGAAACAGTCATTTTCAGCAATACATTGTGCCTGAGACTGTATCTGCAGTTCTTATTTTTGACTGTTAATTAAAAGAGAAAGGGCTTTGTGTCAGCCAGCTGCAGAAGTTTTCACAAGCTGGAAATGGACCCCAAGCATGGATAGACTTGTTTTCCTTTTTACAAGCTAATGCGTGATGGTAAGCGTTCCATCTCCCCATTATGAAAAGGTGAAGAGAAAGTGTAATTTTGTCTTATTGCAGTAGAGGTACTGAGTAGAATTAGTAGCTTCCGAAGTGCTGAGGAAACTAGGTGGAGCAGACTTAAACTTCTGGAGAGGAAGGATTTATAAGTCTGCCCAGGTAGGAATTTGTGCTGTGCATCCTGGAAAATTACCAACTTTTGCAACTGTGTTGCATAAGGTTTACACTGCATTCATCTGCAGTGCTCCAACTTGTCTTGTACAGGAAACTTACTTTCTTTTTTGGCAGTACTTTGTTATTTGTCACTCACATTATGATTACTAGGCAAAAATTTCCATACATTACATTAATGTGTTTTGAACTACTATTTGTATACTGAACAAGCAAATGGATCTTCTCTTTCAGATTGTCACTGCCATTTTTTATGTTAACATGGATATAATCATGATCTCACAATTTGTCTACTATAAGCTCAAGAATCAGGAAAAGAAAAAATGTAAGTTTTTTTCAACAATTAAAATGTTTTCCATAGCGTAGCACACTCTTCCCTTGGATATTTTCTACAGTGTTTGAATATTTTTTTCAGAGGGATCAAAAAATAGAGTGCACAAATTCTGGTTGAAGTTGTTAGGCCCATTGCTTCCAGTTTTCTCAGGTCTTTTTGAAAATCCTGCCCTTTCTGATTTTCTCTTTTCTTACCACTTAATATCTGTAAATATTTTTAATGTAGTACTTTCAGTTTACATAGACATAAAAAAATACAATAGTTTTGGGGAACCTGGCCCCATGTTTTAACTTACTCCATGGTTTTACTATCTACTTACAGCTATTTAAATGTATGTGTAAGTTGAAAGCAAGCGTTATTTTTTTGCATGGTTCAGTTAGTTCCCTCCGTGTTGATTGAAACTGGACTTTATTTGCTTATAGCATAAAGTATATTGACATCTTCATGTGTTCTGTTTCCATACATACGGTTAAAAAACATTCAAGGGGAATGAAATTACTTGAGTTGTGCTTCCTAAAATCCTGGTAATAGTTGTAGCATTCAGCCTACCAATGGACTACTGTTTTAACTGAAATGGAAGACAGAAAGCTCTATTCACATTGTATCAAATCAAAAACATGAATTCATCAATCTAAAAAAAGTATCGAAGAAAATCCATGGTGCATCAGAGGTAACAAAAAGCTGAAGTAAAACAGATGCCTGCCTAGCAGACTGAATAGGGATAAAGCAGATTCATTCAATGTGGAACTGATAATAAACCTGGATATAGGTCAGTGTGGAAGATCCTTCCTTCCTGCTGCCTACTCTTGAAAACAAACACAAGGTTTTGTACATTTTAACTGCCAGCGCCTGTTTCAGCTCAATGGTTTGCATAGCTGTAGAGGTTTTGCTTAGAGCTGAAAAATAACTTTTCAGTACCCACTTCTGGAGTGCCTACCCTAGCAATTTGGTCAGTTTTGCATCTCAAAGTGCATCCTGTGGAACAGCAGGACTAAGTCTGTGTTACTTTACAAAATCCTATTTAGGCTACAGGTCTTTAGGGCAGGCTTACTAATGCCATAAGCAGTTTGTTCCACTGGTAACAGTGATTGCAGGAGTTTACTAGCATCTTACAGATACGGAAGGTACTGTAGCTCCAGAGTTCTGTATGGTTGTCTGCCAGTTTCAGGCTATCTTGTCTATGGAGACTTGCTGAATGAAGTCTGTATTTGAATATGTGGGTCTCAGTAAGGCTTGTTATCTAGCTAACTATAGACATTGAGACTGGTCCACTGTATGAAAATTTTCTCTCAGTAGCAATGCACACTGAAGGAGCCCCCCTCCTGTTCCTGCACTTCTACCCTCAGTTGTTGCACAAAGGCACAGCACAACTATGATAGTGAGCAGGAGTGGGCACAGAGCCCAGAAGAGGTGAACTTAATTGCTGCCAAGAAAAAGATGCATGAAACTGTACCTTTACATTTACATATTTATTGCAAACAAAAAGTAACCTCAAATTAACAGCAGATGTTATTTTTCAGCTAATTTGTTTGTATGTCATTCTAGGCAGCAAAAGCCTGAAGAATTTCTGTATAACCTGGATCATGGTGAGCATAGCACTGTGTGTTATTTTACTCTGTCAGCTATTACTAAGAAACCAAGACCAGAGTGGAGTAATCGAAAGAAGTAATGTAAGTTCTTACCTGCTTCCATTCCAAAAAAATTTCCCACCCAAGTGTCTTGAAAAGATTGTGTACTGTAGGCTTTAAAGAAATTTGGATGACATTTTTAACAATGCTTCAGAAATCATAACTGTGGCATTATGTGGATGTTTTAACTATGGACCATACATCCCAAAATAAAGAAGTTATAAAACTGCTTCTTTTTTCAAACTGTGTTTCAAACTTATGCTGTCCCTTGGGTCATTAGGATGTGCCACTCTGCAAAATAACTTGTATACGTGTTGTGTTTCTGCTTGTGTTAAATACTGTAGACATCCATGCAGAGACTACACAGCCACGAGTGAAATCAATAGAATTGGAAAATTAAAACTGTACCTGCTGCTGCTGTCAGTTCAGTAGGAAAGTTCACAGGCTATTGTAGCAATTTGATGGCCTTTGTACTAATGCCAGTAAAATAATTGTAATCCAGCAACATTGCCCAGCAGGGAAGCAGTTTATTTTCAAAACACAGCTAGAGTGAGAAAACTAAGAACTGTTAAACTGTGAAAATGAGTATTCTGCTTTCTCCAGACAGGATGATTCATTTTTTTAGTGGCCCTAGCTACAGTTCTTAGTTTTGGTTTGAATTATTGTGCCCAAGCTTTTTTAGCAGGATTGATATTAGTGTCGTATCCTAAAGCCTGGCACTAGTTTTGATCTCAGTCATGGCTACAACACAGCAGTTTGCATTGTTGCAAGATAAAGAATAACCCTTTCTAGCCCTCTATGATCATTTGAAGAGCAGCACTGAAGTGGTTTGAAAGGAGTTCTATCCAGAAAATCAGCCAGTGGACTCTCAGTTTAATCCTCTGAAATGCCTGAAAACATTCTTGCCAAAATATATGTACCTTTCTTTTTCAGAACTCTCTTGGTATGATTGAAATGTCAGGCTTCATTTGTGGCTATATATCCTGCGTGTTTTACTTGGGAAGTAGATTTCCTCAGCTGTATAAAAATGTAAGTAGGTTTTTGGCTAAGTATACTTGTATATTTTATAGGATACTCTTTGTTGCTTTAGATGTTGGATTCTCCATAACAGCGAGCCCTCTTGAACTCTAAAATGATAAAAAAAAAAAAACAAGGGGGGGGGGGGGGGTGGGTGTCTCCCATTCAGAGGATAGTGAGAATTTTAGGAAAACACTGGGTTTTGATGGAAGAGGATGGGAAGAGGATATGAAGTATTTACAGCTGAGTTTATCAGATATGAGCATAAACATAGTGTGTGATTGTCGTCGTGAGCAAGTGATATTTCCCCTTTTCTTTCTTCAAACTAGTCTACCTTAAGTAATGAACCGTGGGATCAAAAGTTAGAATTAGCACAAAATTAGTTTAGAATTTTAGCCCCTTTTCACAAAGATACCATTACTGACTTTCTTTTTTTCCACAACCTCTTTGTTATCAGTATATTAAAAACCAGAAACAAACACAAAAAAGACCAGAAGGTTTTACACTGTCAGTTCTATGCAGGCATTTTAATTGGTTATGGAAATGATTAGTTCATTTCCTAACCTATTCTTCTTCCCCTTCTACCTTTTCCTTCACAGCTGGAATGCCACAATATTTTCAAAATGGTCTATTAAGCTGACTGAATAGACCAACAGAGTTTTTAAGAATGAAATATAATTTGGAATCAGATTATTCTTGCTGCTTTACACTTACATAAAAATCACATTAGTCAGAGCTGCTTCTAAGAACTGTAACAACTGCAGTTTTCAGAGATATGTGCTGAAACTACTAAGCTTGGATAATTCAGAGCCCCAGAAGAGATGGACAAGAATGACTGAAAGTCTTTGGATGTGTTAGGGGACAAAATGCCAAATTATCTCTAATTGGCTACTGTGATACAGGTTTTAAATTTTTTTTTGTATTTGTAAAAACTTCCTTGTATTTAGTTCCGAAGAAAATCAACAGAAGGCAGCTCTTACCTGCTGTTTGCGTTAGCCATGATGGGAAACTGTACGTACGGACTGAGCCTTGTTTTAAGGATGCCAGCTACCAAATCCTTCCAGGCCCTCTACTTCTTACACCATCTTCCATGGCTTATTGGGAGCTTTGGAGTTTTGTTTCTAGACATTTTTGTATCCTTTTTGTGTTATACCTAAAGTTTCTCAATATAGGCTTGTTAATAAGTAGATTAGAAATTTAAGTGGGGTTTTGTTTCAAAATCAGTCTGTTTTTTATAATTCTAACCTGATCATAAAATCATCTTTCTAAACAATAATTTGTATGCTTTTTATAACGATATTTCTCCTTTATGGGTACATTGCACAGGTTAATTTATATATTGTAGCCAATGTGTAGTGTACTAAAAGTTGTGGGGGGAGGTTGGACACTGTGCCACTGTTTTTCTTAGGTTTGCTCTCTGTTAAAAAAATCCCAAACAAACAAAACACAAAACAACAACAACAACAAAACAGACAAACAAGTAAACCAAAAACAAACCTGCTTCTTGTTAAATGCAAATGCAGAATTAGAGCTTTGGGAATTTGGTAAAATTGTGTTATTGCAAGATTGCATTAACGTCAGAGATAAACAATGAGGTTTTGGCAAGCTTAGTTTCAGAAAATAGCACTTAACAGAGAAATGCTGTAACTACCCCTTAACTGCGTGATTAGGGGCAAAATCAGATGTGTTGAAACACTGAGTGCCTCTGAAAATCAGCAGCTATGCTCATGGAGTCATGCTGAGGGCTAATCAATTACTTGATTATCTGGACTAGTATGCGAGTTTTTTGAAAGTCCTGAGCAAACTTAAAACACTACAATTTTTTATTCTTCTTTTCAGGAGACATACATGAGATGCCCACAGTATATTAGTTATTGTTAGTCATGCTTTTTGTAGATTAAGTGTTAACATTTTGTAATCAGGAAATTAAAAGCAAAATGTTTAGAGTAATTAGTATACTTTTGCTTTAAAAGCCTAGTGAATAGTAATGTAGTGGTACTTGGTCTTACTATTCACTATAGGTTTAGAGTCACCTGTTTTGTTACTATAGCTTGTATTTATTTTAAAAGAAGATAAAGAGGAGATTTTCTGTTTTTTCCTAAAGTAAGAGATTTAGGTTTGTGTCTGAAAACATCTTGGTTTTCTGAAACCATCTAAAAGGATAGGTCCATGAACTCAAACTATAAAACAGGGTAAAATGAAGAGTGGTTTCAGGACCATACTGAAGCATGTTATCTTAATACGTTCCATATTAAAAGGAGTTTCTTTACCAGATTTACCTGGAACAGTTCCAGAAGTTATGATTCCCAGGCATCAGTTTTGTCCTTCTGATTAATTTCATAAGCCACTCCAATTAGACTAGCGATGCAACAGCCGACCCTGGCGTTTGGATAGACTGTTAAATTACACTGTCATTCAGAATAGCCATCTGTGTTTTTTGTATCTCCAGCCATGGCAATTTAAGTGGGCACTTCAGTAAAATGTTCTGCATTGTGGGAACACAATATTCCACTGCACTGGTAACACTGAACACACTGTGGCCAATGGTCCGTTCTGAAATAAATTGTAGTTTTATCTTTTAGGAACTAGTGCAGATTCTTCTACATGAACAGACTGTAGAGAGTCAGGGTTGCTGGCCTGTGTGGCTGGTTTGAGTGCTCAGGCCTTTTGTTCCACGAGCAAAGTAGTAACTCTTTCTTCTGCCCCCAGCTGGAAACATAAACCAGCCAGTATTTATTTACCAAAAAACCACTAGAACTTGATCTTGATGACCCTTACAGAGCATTATGTGCATATTTGCAGATGCCTTTCAATGATGTACTCTGCAAAGGAACTTTTATATTTGCCACAAACCTCCCCCCTGTCTGAGCCCTGCCCCAGGATTGCAGTGGCTGTATGCACATGACATTCATTTCTGGGTTCTGTCTTGATTGGAGTCTGAATCCAATCTTGCTAATAGTCCTCCAGTTTAAGTTATATTGAAAACAGATGCTTTCAAATCAGGTTGAGGAGCTTATAGGAATCTAGTCAAGTATATAGTGTTAGTTGAAAATGTATAAAGTATTTGTAATCAAGAGAAAACAAAAGCAGACCTCCTGCTTTGAGAAGCCCTGAAGGTAAGGAAGTCAATGCTTTTTAAGAGAGAGCTTCATTACTGTCTCTTGCCAAGCAAGAAAATAAAAAAGTCTAACAAACTGATACGTCCTGTTAGACCAGAAAACAAAGAACGGCATCACCTGGGTTTTGAAAAATTGAGGAATTAAATCAGAAGTAATGATTTCTAGGAGGAAAGTGTTTCATAATTGATGATTTGTGTAACACAGTCTCTGTTTTGAGGGGTACTTGCAGAAATTGACTAATTTTAGTAGACTTTACTCCTGATAGTATTCAGAGTTTCATTACATGGAAAATAAACTCTCATTTCTCTAGGTCCAAGCCAGGATTAAGAGTTCACTTACTCTGTGTCTGCTGCAGTATTCTTTTGCTTCCATCTGACACTGCTGGTGTGGACTATTTTTAGAAACAAATGGACTCCTGATCATAGCTTCAACAGCAGCTCCAGCATTATTTAGTGCAGGATTACACTGGAGTTGTTTCGCCTTGGTTTAACAGGATAACACAGTCATCCTGTTTCTTTGGTGTCTACAGTAAAGTTATTTGGTTGCACAATAAGCAAGTTATTTTTGATAAATAATGGAAGTATCCAGTTGTTTGTAAAGTATGAATTGTCGTCGTTTTTATTTTAAGAGGCATTTTGTAGCATCACACATTTGAATTATAACTGGGACATGTTCTTCTTTTCCACTAAATGTGTCCTTCCAACTGCCGCTTTGCAGCTGAAGGTGTTTGGAGCCTCTCAAGAAACCACAATGCTCAGGGTTTAAATGAACCTAAGAGCCAATTGGTCCAGGATTGCCGACTGTGGGCTTTATTAGAGCTTTCTTTTGTGATTAATATTTCACTTGTACACAAGGATGCAATACTACGTATTTTGAAATACTAAATCAGTTGATGAGCAATTCTGCCCTCAGACCTGTAGCAGTAGTCATCACTAAGCTTTTAAGAGACTGAATCTAGTGCAGTTTTTTTTTAGAAAACTTAGTCATTTTCTGTAGGTCTGTTACCCTCTTTCACCCTGCTTACTTCCTCCCCTGCTCTTACCAAAACCAAACAGCTCTGCTTTGTGCTTAGTTCAGACAAAGCCCTTTACCAAGATTTTTGCTTACTCTTTTTTTTTTTCCCTTTACATTTATTTATTTATTTTTATTTGACATCACCCTATTGTCACAGAACTGTGTTCAAATCCTCCACATGTGCTTCTTTTCATTCAGTGTGGCCAGATTGTTACTAGATAGCCAAAGTATACTCAGCAAGAGCCAAGCTGTTGTACACAGACTCTTCTCTTGCACCTTTTGTGATTTGCAGAGCAACCACTTGGAATCTATTATATACTTCTACAAAACATCATGCTTTGTAATTTAATTACACTGTGCAAAGAACATAAGTCTTACCTGACAATGCAGCCAGGAGTTTCCCAGCCAAACAACTTCATTCTTATAAATGCCTGCTTTTGTCTCAAAACTGTTCCGGATTTTTAATTGTCATTAAATTGTTTAAAAATCAGCTCAGTGGCTGTCATAAACTTTACTCTGAGAAGTCAGTTTGGTTGTCTCCTCTGCTTTGGGCTGTTTGCATGCTTAGGTCTTAACGTTTCCCCTAAAAAGGCAGACTTGAGCAGCAAGTTAATTTCTGTATTTAGTGGTCTTGGCAGTTTAGCATTTATTTAAAAAAACATGAGCAGCTGAGTACATCTGCTACAAAAACGTATTCTAGAAATACAGTTTGATAAGCTCCACATAACTTGTGTTTATAATTTATTCTACCTTAAATGTTCTGTTGCTGTTGCCAACTTGGTGGCTACGAGTGATAATGCAGTGCTAAAGAGCAGGCTTGTCCTGACACCACCCCCCCCCCCCCCATGTTTTCAGCAAGTTTGATTCACAGTTCACAGGTTGTTTTTCCACCAGTGCAACTGTTAAGGCTTGAGGAGGTGCTCAGCTGCAAGTACAGTAAGGCCTAGGAGAAAATAAGAAAAAAGCAGGAAATTTGAGTGGTAGCTATATATACTATAAAAGTAATTTGCGAAGCTGTAAGGAGAAAGCGTTCCCCACATATTGCTATAGAAGTACTAAAAAAGGCATGCAGAGCTGCTGTCTCTCTGTCTCTGAAGGAAATCCTGTCTAGTCTTTAGCTGGGGAGCCTCAGAGGTGGGTCACTGGAAAGCTTTGAAAAGGTGGGATAATTCCTGGGGCTCTGCCTAGGACGTAGAGAATTTCCTCTCCATTCACCCAGGCCTCCCAGAAAGCTTTTTTTTTTTCCTCCCCCCCTCCTTATTTTTATAGATAATTACATACATTAGCCTCAGACTTCTCACAACTATTGTCTACCAGCCAAGTTATTTTAGCTGATCTAAAATGTTTCTGGCAGAATTCTACATGTCAGATTCCTCCCAGAGAAACTAATTCATTTTTAAAATGGGATTTTATGTCTAGCAGTAGTGGTGATCCAGGCTCTGTGAAACCTGAACTTATACATTGGACTTGGTGCAAGGTACCTGGGCATACAGATGGCCGCTTTTGTCTCCGCTCTGTACCTTTAAACCTGCTTTCATGCAGATCCTTATGTTGGAGGCTCCGTACTTGACCTCATCTACTATACCTGCTTCTACTCAGCTAATATCTTTTTTAAAACTTTAATGAAGAAAATTGGATAGCGAATAATGCTAGGATTAGAATACTGCTGAAATCACTCTGTCTTTTAGAAAAAATTACCCATAATGAGTAAAAAAGGTAGGAGCCATAAACCTTCCCTGCAGAGAGTGGCTGCTTTGCTGGCGAGCATTGGTTTGCCCTTGTGACTGCTTGCTGCTTTGCATTTCAT